AATCTATGTCATGGTCTTTCATGTGGGAGATCATGGTTCAAAATCCAGCTATCGCAACTTTAACAAAATTCTCTTCAAACTTCATATTGTCACACAATTACCTTAATTACAAACACCTGCTGACGTGACAGGCACAAGCTGGTATAGAAAACACATTTGAACTTGGTCAAAGTTCCTTCTGCAAGTCCAATGCTGCTGCAATGACATGCTACATGGCAATGCACACTTGTTTTTACATCGTAAAAACCCATGTCTAGTTGTCATTAGTGATTATCTCAATTTCGGCTAAAAGAATTAACAAAATCCTACACACTGTGTCTTTAACTGTTCTTTAGACATGAATACATCAGTGATCATTGTTTCCTCTGACAGGAACTGAAAATCTTGGTTGATTTCGATGACAAGGGTTACCTCCTTCAGATCTTCACCAAGCCGGTTCAGGACAGACCAACGCTTTTCCTGGAGGTCATTCAGAGGAATAACCACTTTGTAAGAGACCAGTAGAGCACGGCAGGTGTAGCCCGTGAGCTGAGGCTTCCTGGGTTCAGTTTTCTGCATTTCATCTTTATCTTTGATGACACACACAGCTGAAAATGAGCATTGTAGTAGTACAAAATAATATAAAACTCAAGATGGCTGCCAAAGCTAATTTCAAATGGCTACATCTCAGCAATTTTTAGACACACTGAGCTGAAATTTGGTGCGGTTGTAGCCAAGAGCATGATATCCCCGTAACATTTCTCAGCAAAAAAGGGGTTTTCATTATATGCCCATCTTTGAAATGCCACATGCAAAACCCACCCACTTSTCAATCATTTAGRGGTGGCACCTGGGGGRTGACCAATCAGGTGCCACCCGTCTGGTTCCACCCCTGTGTTAGAAAAAGTTTACAGTAAAATGACAACAAGGCTTCAGCTTATTATTTCTCCAATATGAGACTATTCAAAAAGTTATCTAGAACAATCGTTGTAACTTTTACACAAATAGCACCACCTCAAAACGAGCAGTGTGTCTCTTTAAACGCCTGTGATACCTGTTTCCTCTCCGGAGCGGCAGAGTGAGAAGTGAACACCTGTTCACAGCTCCCACCCAGAGTGAAAAGTCTGAAAGCAGCCCACTTGTAAAAGCTCAGTCAATCCATCACAGACGCAGATTAAAAGGCTCGCGYCTTCACAGCGAGGGGGATCTTTGGACGGGTTTGCACCCTGCAGCACCCACTCTGCTTGTCAGAGCAGGCGTCTCGTCMCCCTCCAGGGTCCACAGATGTGAGTGGAAAGCATGAAAGTGAGAAACTGAACATAAACCACAAGGACCCGCCCACCCCCATCAGGCAGATCTTCCTTTTGATCAGTTTTAAATTCTTTGCATGAATAAGCTGAGTCCATGTTAAGAGCAGCCTCCTGTTTCTGATCAGAGTTAAACCTCCTGATGCTGTCAGTAAAAGGACCCTWAAAAGAAGACCACGTCTCTGGGCAGTCATCCATCTGTGTGTCTCCTCTGTTCAGGGTTTCGGGGCCGGGAACTTCAAGTCTCTCTTTGAGGCCATCGAGATCGACCAGGACGCCAGGGGCAACCTGACTGTGCTGACACCCGAGGGCCACGCCAAATCCTTCGGCTGAGCCTCGGACCGCTGCCAGCGCAGACTGAGACCGCAGGCTGCGTTTCAGAGACGACACCCAGCAACACATCAGACCCGAGTGATGCAAGTCTTCCAGTGACGAGCTGCTGCTCTCGTTGTAGCAAATCAAATTCATAGCAAATCATCCCATATCTGATACTAGAAAGAGTTTTATTAAATTTATACTTAATTTTTTACAGCAGTACTGTTTGTGGATGATTTTGTCTAATTTAAGCAAATAAAAAGTGTTTTTTCCCCCTGGGTGGGGTTTGAACATAGACATACTTTTGATTTCTGTCGTTTAAGCTGAATTTTGTGTAGTGAAGAATAATTTACAAAGAAATCAGGTGAAATAGGATCCTGCGTTATGAGCTCAGTTTCGACCGATTTTAACAAAAACTTTCAGGAAATACTCTATTGATATTTAAATCTGATAAATACTTATAGAATTAACTAATTCAAGATGGCTGCAATATCCAGCTTAAAGCAATTTACAACAATGCAGTCAGTTTACCAGATGTAAACTCTGGTGTTTTTGTGGCTAATAATCAGATAGTTAATTCAAAAACTAGCTCCGCAATTTCTAAAGCGTTTATGGGAGTATTTACGTCCACATAACTTCTAAAGTATTTATGACACAGCTTTGCTAACAGAAGCTAACTTTAAAGCACAGGTTGAACTTGACACCAGTACAGAGGTTTGTTATGAGGGAGGGGTGCTCTGTGGGACGGGAGCTCGGCTGCAGTCTGAGCTCCAGGGAGGAGCTACGTACAAATAGGCGGAGCTTTGTAACCAGCAAACGTTACGGCAGCTCCACATGGCTAACACGGGTGATTCAAGGAGTTCTTAAACATGCATGAATGAGTCAAAGCAGCACTCTGGGTATTTTAACATGATATAAAACACAAAGGTGTTGATTTAGCACCCCCCAACCACCACCACCTTTAAACCCAAAATATTGACTCTMTTCCAACCATTAAACCCAGCTCAAAACCCATCCTTTCTCACTCTGATGTCTTCGTTATTTCAACTAGTTTTTAATTTCAGCGCATTTTATTTTGACGCTCTATTGTTAATTTTGTGAATTATTCTAGGTATCATAAAAGGTGCTAACAAATAAAATGCATAATTATAATTATTACAAATATAGAGTTGTTTTCATTGTTTTTGTGGCATCTGTCTCTATTTATATACTGTCAACTGTAAAATTATATCTTCTACTGAAATGACTAATAACTAAAATGATAAACAATAAATAAAAAGAACAAAAAAAAACAAACAAACAATAATCTTTAGGCAAGCTAAATGTCATTAACAAAGGTTTTGGCCACCTAGTGGTGCAGGATGTTTATTTCAGACTATTATTAGAGTGTGGACAGAATATTTAAGTATGCCGAGATGACTTAATGTGGATAATTTGTTAAAAATTGTTGACAATTAAACATTTCCCGCATGTTTTTCTGCAACAAAGACACAAATAAATAAAATCAACGTAAACACAAAAGTTTTATTTCAAAATAATTTATTTGCATATAATTGGAATGAAGACAGGTTGATACATTTTGATGGCACCAGTCAGTTTCCATACAGAAACATTCAGTCTATACAGAAACCTCTCTTTCAAACCTGGACAAAATGGATAAATATATTAGTAAATAAATATATTAGTGACATGTCACTATATTGAAATGTTCTATTATATTTAAAATACAACACTATTTCATTTCTGGTTTTGTTCTTTTATTTGTTTTTTGTTGTTTTTTTTATACAAAGTATCCAAAAATATACTGATGTATCCCTTAAAGTTCTGGAGGGACCTTTATTTAAAAAAAAAACTCTGTTAGAAAAGGCAGTTTCAGCTCATAATTCTTGGAAAACAAAAACACAAACAATACAAAGAGAAAAGATCTTGAAGAGGATGAAATCACACCAGATGTTCAGCAGCAATGCTAAACGCTACTTTACACATGCTGATGTTTTTGGGCTGGTTTACACTAATACTATGAGTTTTATTTCTTTTTTTATTTTATTAATATATATTTATATATAATCTGCTTAAGCCAAAGTGCTGCTTATTATTCAGTCATTTCCACATCAGTCTCTGTGACTGTTTGGGCACAACAAAAGGAAATCCTCATACTTTAAAGGAACGTTGTGCTGACACATTCATAGTGAGGTATTTGTAAAAAATAAAAATAAAAATAAAAATACCACTCCAATTTGAACATGTTTGCTCTCATCAGTAAGAGCGTAAAAGGAGAATCAGATGGGGGTGGGGGGGTTGACTTTGTTGAAGATTTCTCCTCTTTGGTTGGACAGGTAAGAGCCGTGTGTCAGGAGCTTTAAGGCACAGGTGAGGGTTTCATAAGTGCTACCAGTTACCACRCAACATTCACAAACTCTTTTTCTGCTAACGTAGGTCTAAAAGAATCCTCCCTCATATTCACTGAGCCTTTCAAAAACAAAACAAAACAAAAACTTTTTTTTTTTTTACTTTAAGCTTACTTTGTAGTTAAAGTAATATTCTGACCACTCTGAAGTCTGTTGAAAAGTTATAGTTATGTTCGACAGGACTGATGAGAATCTGCGTATGGTTCGTTCTTAATTTGTTTCCATTTCAAAACAAGMGAAAAACACCAAAAAAACTCATTTTTTGTTTGTTTTAAAGCTAAATTAGAAAAGGGACTATTTTATTATTTTCATTTTAATGGTTAAAGCAACAAGCTTAATTTTTTGTCGTTTTGTTTGTTTTCACTTCTCACCACGGATATATTCTTGCTCTCTCGTGGGTTGTTTAACTCAATTTTCCTTTTGTGTATTTCAAGCTGTTGTTAAAGGTAGCGCAACTGTGTTTGCTGCATGACCGGTTTCACCTGTTCTCCCATGTTTGTCTTGTATGTCTTCTTGAATGGGTGWTTCTTAACTGCCCTCTCCCCCCTTCCCTGAATGTACAGCACCTTGTGAATTTATTTCTGTGAAAGGCGCTATATAAATAAAACTTTACTTTATTTACTTTATATGTTTGTCATATTTACATCAGAACTTTTTCTGCAAATGTGGTTCCATCTACCAGGGCGCAATAACTCTTTTTCAGAAAATCTGTAAACCACTTCAAGCGAGTGTAAAAACTTTTCTTTTTTTTTTTTTTCCAAAATTGAGGAAGCTTTTCAAATTTTTCTGTTTCCATCCACCTTTTATAATGCAATACTTCAAAATGGGCATAAAAAACATTGATGGAAACACAGCTACTGAGAAAATTTACTCAATATTCAAAGTTGTGCAGAATAAGGCTCTGCAGCCATTGTTAATATCTGTAGGAACCATTTCTGGTTTTAAGCCATCTTCCAGTCTCTATAAAATCTTCTTTTTTGGCGACTTCCATCAATTATCGATAACGCTACACATAAAAAAAAAAACACAAAAAAAACCCCAATCGTATATTTTATTTTTGGATTTAAATAGCTCAATTAAAAATAAAACACGGGACTTTTTATTAGTTCCACTTTATATTTTTTGCATTTAAGCTTTAAAAATGGAAGAACAAAACAAAACAAAATAAATCACGGTTGTTTTCTTTTTGCGAATTTGGTTTGAAACAGAAAAAAACGACAGCGAACCAAATGCAGATGGACGAGCTAACAGCTAATAAGAAGTTAAATCTTAAAACGCCACCAGAGTATTCAAATTGTTTCATGTAAAATGCTACTTTACAGAGCTTTACAACAAAGACAATTTCTGGACGGCCATTTTGAAAGGATTTTAGGATTAGCGAGCGTGAACAGCTGCAGGACATGTGGAGCAGCCTGAGGCACCTCTGACAGGAAGCATCAGATTTGATCTGAAACAAGCATTTGATGAAAAACTGATGGCGATGTAAGGGCGTCTGAGTAAGACACTTTTGAAGATGAGTTGTTTTCAGCTGTTTCAGCTGGTTGGGGGGGGGG